AGCTGCAGAATGGCCTTTTCTTTTGGCTCAGTTTTTGAGCCAAAGGCAGGGGCTCTGGCTGTCTGAGTTTTGGACTACAGTTCCCATCAGCCGCTGTGAGCATAGCCCGCACTGATCATGGGTATTGTTGTTCATCAGTCTTCTGGAGCATTAAGGATGCCTTTATCCATACATATGATTTTTAAGGATACTGGGGAACCTGGATCCACCGGACTTGTCTATTCCCATTCGTCTTTTCCCCCTATTCCCATTCGTCTTAATGAAATAAAAGGGCATGCCTCCTTTGGTACCCTTCTCATTCTTTTTGTGAGGTGTGGTGCAGAGTGGAAGCATTGCTGCCTCCTTTCAAATAGAGATCTTGCTGCCGCTGAGGGAGAGATGGGGTTCCTTTCTCAAGGCTTATTCCTCCTCCAGCCCCTTTTTCTTGGCCCTGTTCATCAGAAAATTGAAGAGAAGGCGCTGAAATAGGAAAGAACCTGGGCTGCAGGGCGACATTATATCTAACCTTGATGTTTGTATATGCAAGGAGGACAGAGAGGGGGGCGGCTTGAGGGTTTTCCAAGATAGCCCAGTGCTGCCTCACTGCTTGTGCCAGCCAGCCAGCATTTCCAGGGCCAGACAACAGCCTCCTGGGTGTGGCTGGCCCACTGTAGTGTATGGTGCTCATCATATTTGAGGGGTAAGAAAATGCAAACTCATCAGAGCTTGGCAAGTGCCTTTTGGTTTGGAGCTGTGAGTTGCGCAAAGGATTGGGGTGTCATGATTTTTAAAGCCTACTTTCTTCCCTGTTGTGTGATCATGCTGATAGAGGCCTAACTATACAACACCAATTCATCTCTATGCTGTCTGCAGTTGAATGGTGCATAATCAAGTAATTTAAATGCAGAACATCTGAAGGGAGGGGGGCACAGGACATCAGTTGTGTCTGGGGGAGAGGGAGAAGCCTCTGACAATGGCTGCTTATGTGCTGATAAAGAGGAGGGGAATGGAAATAGATGTCTTTTGTTGAAATAAGTATTTACCTTTAAAATGTGTTCTGCCAAATTTTTTAAAAAATATATAGTTTGCAGAGCTGTGTTTGCTGTAGACACTTAAAGCATCAGAAACATAGACACTGAGGTAACAGGGAAAGTGAAAAAGACAATTTATTTAGCTTGCATATGATGGATGTCACATATTCCTTTCACATAATTTATGAAACTGGTAAACTGATGCTAAAATAAACCTGAAGTAGGAAGGTTTCTATAGTACTCAGGCATGTGATCAGTATGGTACTCATTTGTCATACGAGAAATGATGATACATGCCTTTCTATCTTTGACATTGTGAACAGCACAGAATTTTGTTTAAAATATGTGGAAAATGATGTTATGCATCTTTCCAAAGGCATTACATTGCAGACTTAATTATGATGAAATCTGCTGCAGTAAGTTTTGCTACAGAGCCAGGTCCTTAAATCACACTGACAAAGTCAACCCTTGCGACACACACCAATCATTAATTATCTTTATGGTTCTGGATCGTACAACATTGTGGTATTTCCAGTATGAAGCTCCAGGCAGCAGCACTCACACACAAAAGCCTCAGATTCCTTCAACTCTTGCCCTTTCCTACTTTCAGAGCATTTGGTTGAGCAGATGTACAGTACTTTCCTGCTTGATATACATTGTAACAATCTTTTGGCTAAAACATAGTGCTTACTAATGTCTCATTTCAATTATTCCATTTATTTCAGTATTTATACCCTACCGTCCTCCCAGAGAGGACCCAGAGCGGTTACAATATTAAAAGATGTATGCCAATAAAGGTTTATTAAAATATTAAAAGAAACAATATTGAAAACTAAAAATACAAAACATTATTGCAAAATTAAAAGACAATTAAACTGGTAACATATTTAAAATAGCTTGAACAAGTTTAAAAGCATGTTGTTGTTTTTTGGGAAAAAAAGATATACAAATTTTAAAACCCACATTGGCAACTAGAAGTCTGCACATTTTGAAAAAATCCATAGATTGAAGCTGTCCTTTCCAGAAACACCACAAAATGGTGCAATGGGTATTCCTTTGTTGATAAGATTTTGCTGTATACAAGTAGTTAGCAATCAGCCACTTGCCGAAACTTTGGCTACTTGCAGCCCACCAAAGTGTTCTGTGCTGCCAAATATACTGCTGATTTGGTGCCCTTCCTGCCAGATTTCAGGAAATGAGGAAAAATCAAACATAGGATGGATTAAACCAGTAAAAGAACCAGGGTCCTTAGTTCACAAGAACTGAGTAGGGATATTAATGACAGGACCCATGAGAGGTCACTAGTTCATAAGTCAGAAGCAACTTGACATCCCAGAACAATAATAGCATGGCAACAACTGCCAGATTTGCAGCCGTCGTTGATTTCTTTCCTGCTTCACAAACATTATCCTGTGCACAAACATTCCCTGGCCCACTCCTTAAGACCTGCTGAACAACTCCCAAGAGCTGGAGCTCACTTCAAGGATGGTCTAGGGGCCATTTCCGGAGAACCTGGACTGGCCCACAGGCACAGAAAACAGGCTTGCTTTGTCCTTAATGTGACAGCCCTTCAGTTATCTGAAGATGGCTATCATATCACTTCTCAGTTTTCTCTTCTCCAGACTAAACATATTCAGCTCCCTCAACCGTTCATCATAGGACTTGGTCTTCAGACCTTCTACCATCTTGGTCACTCTTCTCTGCATACATTCCAGAAGGTCTAAACCTGATACATTATGGTCTGGGAAGACATTAACATTTAACATTAATACAACTATCATCTCTATATTTCCTTCTCTGCACATCAAATTCAGTTCTATTTTGGCTTATTCAGGGGAATAGCTTGCAAATGTGAGTGTGCCTTAAAATATGTCTGCATTACACAATTGCATCATCTGAACTGTTCAACTGCCATGATTTTGTCCCAAGGAACGCTCCCCTCCCCCAGATCTGCAGTTCAGTGAAGTATTTAAAATTCTTTACTTTCATCTGAGTGCATTACACTTCTGTACTTGAGAATTCTAAGTACTAGGATTTCAGAGGGTTGGGGCAGCTCTTTAATTTCTAGCCTCTTTCCCTGATTCTCAGTTCTAGTACTACACTGGCTCAATAAAGAAAGTGTTCAGGTTAATGGACCAATGAACCTTAGCATGTGTGAATTGGGAAGGAAAGAGCAAAAGGAAGAGTGGGTTTTGGACCCCTCCCCTGCTATGCCCTTACCTAATTGTCAGGTGCATCATAAATAGTTATTCGGTGATAGGAAAAAGGGCATAGATGGTCACTGCTGTCTGGTTTCAATCTGGGGGGGAGATATCCATGCATTTGCTTGAGTGGTAAAACAGAGCTAGGGCTGCAGTGGCTGCATTGTGCAGGTGTGTGGCTCCTGAATGTGACAGTAAAGCTTGTGCCACCATTGTTTTCTTCTAACTTTTTGTTAGCTACATGTTTAATTACTGCCCCTGACTTTGCTAATGTCACATAATTACTACTGGAAGAGAGACAATGACCTCCCATGTGGTTATCACTTAGTGCACCACACGCATGTACTGCAATTGCCTGCCAAAGTACTCTTCCAGATGTGGGGGAGCATGTTTCCACATATCTTTTGAAGGGGGCAGGATCAGCAGTGGAGGGGGAACAATCAGCCTTGGGGGCAAAATTACGGGCAGCAGAACAGAGCAGAAATTGGTGTGGTAACATTGGGAGTAAAATCATAACCTAAAATACCTTCACAGGGATGACATCAGGAGAAACATATCACCATAACTTCTGAACTCACACATTTTGGTAATATGGCAACATCTGCAAAGTGAACAATCAGACATGTGCAGTATTGACAAATGGTTTGTTCTTATTAACAGATGTGGAAATTGGTGTGGTAGGGATATGCACCAAAGACAACATTCAGTTTGGATCTAGCCTCTGTAGTTGAAGAAAGGGACTGATAGGAGCAGACTGCTTGGGGCATGTCTCAGTTCAGATCTGAATCAGAACCTTGGCTTGGAAAATTCAGTGCTTTGTATAACCCCTGTTTGGCTTACATGGGAAAAATGAACAACTGGTGACAAACAACTGTTTTATGTTTTGACATAACTTGATGAAATTGGTGTGCACGATAGCATGTTGCAAGTAGATGATGTCTGATGGGTGGGGCAGGGACATGCTTTTGTAAAAAAAGGAATCCTTAAAGTTTCAGCAGAAAAGGATTTTGTCCTCCTCGCACACTATTTTTAGGTGAATGTAGCAGGTAGCAGTGTTAGTCTGGTATAAACCATCTCTAGGGAAAGCTGTATGAAAACAAACTACATTATATAAGTGCCTACAAATAAATAACCTATACAGTTTTAGAAACATTAATCATCATCATCTTAGAACCAGAGTTGGAAGGGACCCTATGGATCCTTGAGTCCAGCCCCTCTCAAGGAGTCACAGTGGGGAATTGAACTCCCAACTTCTGGATCCACAGCCAAATGCCTAAACCATTGAGCTATCCAGCAGTTTGAGTGCAGAGGCAGAGAATTACAATGAAGGAAATAGTTAGAGGCTTTGTTTTTGTTTTCTGTCCAGCTGATACCAAATTATAAATTCTTTTCTTTCCAAATCCTCTGCTACTAGAAGAAAGGAAGGTATTGGTAAAGTTCTTTTCTGAATAGAAATCCCCGGCACAAAACTACACCTTCCTTTGTCCTGCCTGCAAAATAAACACTGAACTCAGTGGGATTTATTCCCAGGTGAATATGAATAGGATTGCAGGTATATAACTAGGTGGACAGCTGTTCTAGGCTGTTGCAGCAAAAATAAGAGTCTTGTGACACCATAATAAATGTATGCATTTATGCTACCATGTATTTGATTGTCTCTGAACTACCACAATACTTCTCTAACTATCATCTGCTTCAAAGTGTGCATATCCCATTAGAGATTTCCTTAAATCAGAAAATGTGATTATGACTCACTCCTGCGGATGAGATAATGTTCACAGTGTTTACCATGAAGCGGAATAGTTCATTGCATTCACTTTTGGTGGCAGGATCCAGAAGTATTTTTCTGTGCTATGAAATTATTACAGGTAAATAGCTGCCTCATTGTCCATGATGTCGCAGTCCTGATGTAACCATTTTTGCTGGCATATTGGAAGGAAAGGTAGATACAGCAAACCCAAAACAAGAAAATTGCTTTAGCAGCAGGTTGTGATGTCATAATCGCTTAGTCAAAAGCATTCCACCAATGTCAGCAACTCTAGAGGATGGAATAAAATTGCAGCCTTGCCAGTAAATCTACGCTAGCATCTGTAAGAAAGGGGGAAAGTAGATTAAATCAGGACCACAAAATACTCTGACCCAGAAGCAAAGGTTCACTTTTCATTCCTGCAGGATGGGGGAGCAGCCAGAAACAGTGGGAAACCTGGAAGACTGCATGCCTTCATGACTTCTAGTCTTGGACTAAAAATGTCTTCTCTAATTTATGTTTACTACGTTCTGCCCCTTAAACTTCTCATTAAAAGAATAAGAGACTAAGTGTTAAACTAGACATTAATAATAGTTATTCCTTTCAGTTAACAGTCTTCCACACTGAGAAAGGTGTGCCACATCATATGTCTGTAAATAGACTTACAAATGCTGTCTGTGTTCAGTTCAGTCCAGTTTATTGCTACGATCCTTAGACCAATCATACAACAAAAACAAATCTTTCCAAATTTCTAAAATTGGGATAGTTCGTAAAATATTTAGCATTAAAAGACAATTTAAAATCTAATGTCTCAGTAACCAGACTTACAAATGACATCTCTGTTTACCTTTCAGTGACAAAATACAGTGCAATGATGGTGCTATACAAAAGTGATGTAACTTGTATGCTATGATAAACAGGTGACTCGTGTCATATAAAAGAACAGCCCTTTTGAAAACTTATATCTGTATATATTTCCCAGTTTAATCTTAAGGGTGTTTCTAGAGAAAGCTTTTAGTATGCCATGGTCAGGGTTCATTCTTAAAATTTAGAGGGGACAGACGTATTTTCAGTGTGTAACCTTCCCAAAATTTTCTGCTATTTCTTTTCCTTTCTGAATTTTTTTTCTTCACTTTTTCTAATGTCTCAGTAACCAGACTTACAAATGACATCTCTGTTTACCTTTCAGTGACAAAATACGGTGCAATGACGGTGCTATACAAAAGTGATGTACTGTAACTCGTATGCTATGATAAACAGGTGACTCATGTCATATAAAAGAACAGCCCTTTTGAAAACTTATACCTGTATATATTTCCCAGTTTAATCTTAAGGGTGTTTCTAGAGAAAGCTTTTACTATGCCATGGTCAAGGTTCATTCTTAAAATTCAGAGGGGGACAGACGTATTTTCAGTGTGTAACCTTCCCAAAATTTTCTGCTATTTCTTTTACTTTCTGAATTTTGTTCTTCACTTTTTGATTAGTAGGGCAAAGCATCCTTTTATGGAAGCATCATCTTTATGAACTTATTTGTGGTTTCTTCAGGAAGGGTTATCCTGGCTTGTTTAAGGGGCCTTACGTCCAGTTAGATGTGCATAGGATTTCAATTAAGCTAATTGTAGTCTGCATGAAAACCCTTACCCAGCACAAATTCCATTGAAGCCATCGCTATTTATATATAAGAAGACATACATATGATTGTGCTAACAAACCATGGCGATTGCATAGGTCATCTTCCAAGAATGACCCCAGCTTAATGGGGTTCCCATTTGCACCCATAGACTGCAAAGTGGAAGAGGAATTGGGTTGCTTCTCATTCTTGTGATGTGGTACACCTTTCCCATTGGCTAGTATGGCTTGTTCTAGCTGCTGGGATCATCCTACTGACCTGGTCAATCACATTGCTGATTACTGTAACTAGCTGTATGTGTCTGGACAAGCCTGGAAGGGGAAGTTCTCTCTGTGGTCCAGTTGGAACACACAGAACAATTCCTTGACACACCATTCATTTCAGTCTCTAAATATTTCTGTGACCCAGCCAACCTATTTATGGATCTGTAGATTGCTCAGGGCTTACATAGGCAGCACAGAGGAGGAATTCTATCTGTGGGGTTTAGTTGGCATATGGGGTATTTGCCTCTCCTCTTAACAATTCAGACAGGCCCCTTGTAATTTCCTTTTTCTCACACAACTGTATTGTAAAGTGATTAAGGCATATATTGGAACCACAAAAGGAAGCATCCACATCAGAATCAAAGAACATGAGAGACACTGCAGATTAAAACTACCAGAAAAAAAATTGGCAGTCGCTGAACATGCCCTAAAACAAGCTGGACATGAAATTATATTTCAAAATACTGAAATACTGGACAACACCAGCAATCATTATTGGAACCACAAAAGGAAGCATCCACATCAGAATCAAAGAACATGAGAGACACTGCAGACGAAAACTACCAGAAAAAAATTGGCAGTCGCTGAACATGCCCTAAAACAAGCTGGACATGAAATTATATTTCAAAATACTGAAATACTGCACAACAACAGCAATCATTACGTTAGACTGCACAGGGAAGCCATTGAAATCCACAAACACCAGCAGAGCTTCAACAAAAAAGAAGAAAGTTTAAAACTCAACAAAGCTTATCTCCCAGCCCTGAAAAATACAGCTTGCATAAAGGTCAGCCAACTCTACCCAGCCACAAGAACTGGTGATCACTACACACAAACGACCCGCTAATGACACCCATCAATCAAACTACAGGCAACAAGCGAGGTTGCAAACAAAACCCCAACATATACCCCTCTAGCCCCATATACAGTATACAGTACTGCAATCCTAGAGGTCTTGTTCTGTTACCCCATGCCAGTATCCATTGTCCTATGATGTGCTGAGGCACCTCAGTTGTATCCAGTAATGTTGTGGCCATTTTCGTGCAAACTGTGTTTGTATCCCTTCAACATTCCTACTCACACCGTGCTCAGCCTTACTGCCCAGGCTGCAGCTAATACATGGCCAACAATGTCATGGATGGGCAAAATCTGCTTTGTAAAATTTTACAAATAAGAATGCTGCATGACTAAGTAGAAATACTGCAATGGTATTTTGTTAAAATCTAAGTTTTTTCTTATAGCAGTTGTAGCACCGGTGCATCTAAATATTCTCTCCTGAAAGGAAGCTTTTTAAGTACCTCACACATGAACACTGAGAACTCAGTATCTTTATTATTCAGATAACTGAGGATGATGAAGCTCAAAGACAAAGGGAAGTTAAAAAAGCTTCCCTGGAAGCCTCCTTCTTGAATGTAACTACCTCTCGTGGCACTGCAAGCCTTAAATAGTATCCCCCACTGTTTTGATTATAGGATGTATGCTCCATTGTGGTGGCCATGGAAACGCAAGAGGAAGGTGCTATATTAGCTAGATTGAGCTAAAGTGAAGCCCAAATCATCTCCTTCCTTCTCAAGAGGTGTTCAAATAGTAATGGCCACATGAAGTACATTTTGTGTTTTCTTGGGGTTTGCAAATGTATAAAAATGGACATAATCAAGTCATCAGTTTCTACAAAATTCACAGGTTGGATCATTTAAAAATCATTTATGCCTTTGCAATATGCAATATGGATAGAAGAGAGATGTACTACTGAGCTAATACATTCACTACATGGATGGTATTTTCTAGACTTGTTTCCACCCCTGTGGAAGGGGATCATCATGCAGGGAGGAGATCACCCCTGCCCCTCAGTTTCTTCCACCCATGTTATTTCCTTACATTGCTATTGTGGAAAATGTAATATTTTCAGAATAAATAGAAGCCTGGTGGGCAAAAAAGTACAGGAGTAGACAGATCAAATTGTCCCCCTAGCATTGCAGTCATGATCTGGGTTACTCTCATCCATCCTGTGTAATCCTGGGATCTGTAGTTTAGACAAGTACTTTGCTTTGTAGTTTAGTGGAGCACACTAGAGTTCTCTAGCAGGCAATCCTTCATCAAACTTCAAGTCCTAGGATTCTGTAGGATGGACCTACGGCAGTCAATAGCATTTCAAAGTGGTATGAAATGTGCTTAAGAAGACTTTCAAAACATTAAAAAGCTTCACCCCGAAATGCTCTGTACTAATAATGAGTGCTTCTAGCACCTGACTGATTTGAGCAGGAGGACTCCACAGGGCTGCATGTGAGGCTGAATTAGATTTGAATATACACACTCACACATCTTGGTCATCCCTTTTCTTCACTGGGAGGCAATGGAAAGGCTTTGCTTCCTCCTTCTCTAGTGATCCTGACATGATCTGTATGAAATAAGTAGGAAATCAACAGTAGGGGCCAGGAGTCAGATGATAGTAGGGGTGTGGATGTGTGTCAGGGCATCCCTAGAAGGTCACACTTCATTTCTGTGAAGAAGATCATACTGTACATGGAATTGAAGGATGGGTGTATCTTCTGCTTCCCATCCTAAAAGACTCAAGGAACAGACAGAGATGAGAAATTTTTCTGACTACATCTCCCAATAGCTATGCTGATTGTGAAAGATTGGGAATTATAGTTTAAAAAACACATGGTCTCTGCTTCTTTTGGAGGATCTTGTGCTTCTGCTGGCATCTGTCTCACACTTCACATTTACTGGCTGACATCCAACAATACGTTGCAACTATAGCAGACCTGTTGAATCAGTGGGAGCAATTCTGGTTGTGATTTGCTACTCGATTTCAGCCACTATCCATCTTTTAATACAGGTCAAATTGAATTTGATTCAGCACACTTGTTACTTGAAAAGGGCAATTGAATTCTTAAATTAAAATAATTCTGTTTTTAATATAAAGGGAAAGACTGATATTTTGTTTCTTTGGCAACTCTGTGACCTTGGACAAACTTGGTGCCATGTGTGAACATCTTCATTTCACCTGTTTCTACCCTCTGGAGGATATTTAGTTAACAAGACTACTATTTTATTCCAGATGCGGTTTCAACATCTACCTATGCGTCTCCAGCAAGAAGTCTGGGAGACCCAGGGATAACACCACTCTCCCCATCCCATGTTGCGGTAAGAAATACAATTTATATGTAACCGTGGCCAGAATTCTGTTGAGGATTTATGGCAGTATAAATGCAGTTGCATAAAATGTGGTGGTGAATTGGTGCTGTTTAACAAATTGCTGCTTGACTTCCTGTCTGTGTGCCAAATTGTACAAATGGCACATGATCAGGAATGTGAGTACAACTTATTACTGGCAATTCACTACCACAATTTATGCAATTGCACTTCTGCTGGCATAAACCTCCCCATAGGATTCTGTCCTATATTGGCTGAGATCCCCTTGCTTAGTGTACTAAATTACACTACACGAAGCCGTTGAATCAGTGGGGATATGATGAATTAACTCCTTCATTTCTTGTTGTTTAGTTGTTAAGTCGTGTCCGACTTTTCATGACCCCATAGACCTAGCACGCCAGGCCCACCTGTCTTCCCCTGCTTCCTGGAGTTTGGTCAAATTCATGTTGGTAGCTTTGATGACACAATCCAACCATCTCGTCCTCTGTCGTCCCCTTCTCCTCTTGCCTTCACACTTTCCCTCCATCAGGGTCTTTTCCAGAGAGTCTTCTCATGAGATGGCCGAAGTCTTGGAGCCTCAGCTTCAGGATCTGTCCTTCCAGTGAGCACTCAGGGTTGATTTCCTTTAAAAATGGATAGATTTCATCTCCTTGCAGTCCAGGGGACTCTCAAGGGTCTCCTCCAGCACCACAATTCAAAAGCATAAATATTCTTCAGTTTAAGCTTGAGTTTTGCTATAAGAAGCTGAGGATCAGAGCTACAGTCAGCTCCAGGTCTTGTTTTTGCTGACTGTATAGAGCATCTCCATCTTTGGCTGCAGAGTACATAATCAATCTGATTTAGATATTGCCCATCTGGTGATGTCCATGTGTAGAGTCGCCTCTTGTGTTGTTGGAAAAGAGTGTTTGTGATGACCAGCTTGTTCTCTTGACAAAACTCTATTAGCCTTTGCCCTGCTTCACTTTGAACTCCCAGGCCAAACTTCCCTGTTCTTCCTTTTATCTCTTGACTCCCTACTTTAGCATTCCAGTCCCCTAGAATGAGAACATCTTTCTTTGGTGTCAGTTCTAGAAGTTGTTGTAAGTCTTCATAGAATTGGTCAATTTCAACCTCTTGAGCATTGGTGGTTGGTGCATAAACTTGGATTACTGTGATGTTGAAAGGTCTGCCTTGGATTCGTATTGAAATCATTCTATCATTTTTGAGATTGTATCCCAGTACAGCTTTTCACACTGTTTTGTTGACTATGAGGGCTACTCCATTTCTTCTATGGGATTCTTGCCCCCAATAGTAGATATGATAATAGTCTGAATTTAATTCGCCCATTCCCATCCATTTTAGTTCATTGACTCCCAGGATGTCAATGTTTATTCTTGCCATCTCCTATTTGACCATATCCAGCTTACAAAGGTTCATAGATCTTACATTCCAGGTTCCTATGCAGTATTCTTCTTTGCAGCATCGGACTTTCCTTTCACTTCCAGGCACGTCTGCAGCTGAGCATCCTTTCGGCTTTGGCCCAACTATTTCATTAGCTCTGGAGCTACTTGTACTTGTCTTCTGCTCTTCCTCAGTGGCATGTTAGACGCCTTCTGACCTGAGGGGCTCATCTTCCAGCGTCAGTTCTTTTTGCCTTTTGTTTCTGTCCATGGACTTTTCTTGGCAATGATACTAGAGTGGCATGCCAGTTCCTGCTCCAGGTGGATTGCGTTTAGTCTGAACTCTCCACTATAACCTGTCTGCTTTGGGTGTCCCTGCACGGCATAGCCCATAGCTTTTCTGAATTACTCAAGCCCCTTTGCCACAACAAGGCAGCAATCTGTGAAGGGGAACCCCTTCATTAGTTCTCACTAAATCTCCTCTGATTCAATAGGCCTCTTTCTGTTCACTGTTAGAGCTTAACAGTAGACTAACAAGTAGCTTCCACTTCTATTTTTAAAATCTATATTAGAATCTCCTCCACTATATTTATTCTCTGGTGTTGATCTGAACATTTTAAACAGCCCTGAAGTCATAAGGTATATTTGGCACTATTCATTTTTGTCTCTTAACTCACCTGAGGTTATATAGGTGGTAAGTGGGACTTTTATCCATTTGGAGTAACATGACAATCAGTATCGGCTTGGTAGTGTGCTAAATTCCCATTGCTGTTACTATTTGAGGCCCACTGATATTCAGAGAATGATGATTTCATTCAGTAAAGAAAGATTTATAGTGTTATATGTTGACATGAAAAAGAACTGGTAAAATTTATCACTTTTCCTTAAAATCAGATAAGAGCCATTTTGTTTCTCTTTTTTTCAGAAGGACTCTGAAACAAATGACACAGAGGAGCCATCATTTCTTGTGGTGGTGGCTATTGATTTTGGCACAACGTCCAGTGGCTATGCCTATAGCTTCACCAAGGAACCAGAATGTATTCACATAATGAGGTAAAGGCACCCATTACAGCTTTATGTGGAGAACGACTGAAGCCTGTGACTATGGAGAAACTGCCCTTTAGTCATTTCTTTAAAAACACATCAAAGAATCATTCGTGTTGCTCTTAAGCACTGGCCGTGAGGGGCAGTCTAACATCAAGGGCTAAACCTCTTCTATGTGTGCCACTTCAATGGTTATGAGATACATACTGAGGAAAAATGGAATACCATTTGTGGGGCTTATTAGTAACAGTATATGGAAATGAGGAAAACATGAGTTCAGAAGCATGAGGGAAATAGCTAGCATCTTTCAACAGTAAGCAACTTAGTGCCAAACTAATGACAAGTTTAGTGCATTTTCAGGCCTGAGGTTCCCTTATGTGCCTACATAGCTTGTGACGAGAGGAAACTCGCTCCTAAGAAACATCAGGACAATCACATGCAATAGGAAACAGACATCTTTCCCCATTTGAGCAGGAGTGGATCATGCCCAGAGTCGGCACATGCAATTTGGAGTTGTGCTCAGTGATTGAGCGATGTCTGTTCAAGTGGTGAAGGATGTTTCTGACAGGGAGTAATTTTCTTCACTTGCCTGTCTTGAATTTAGCATGCTTTGTTTTGTGGATGATCACTGGAAAGCAAACACAGTGTTTATTTCAGAGTCCAAGCAGTGTAATATGTATCTCTGAAGAAATCCTGTTGTGGAAGGAAAAAATGGGATTAATCATAGGCAATGTGCTTTCCCCTCAACATCTGGCTTGACCGAGATTCTTGCATAGCCGTGCAGCTGTTGACTTGATTTATGCTGCACCATAGCCTCTAGCTGTGGGCTGCCACAGCAAAGCTTTGTTCCCAAACTGCTCCAGTGCAAGCTTTAGGATCCAGCTTGGTGCATGTGCAAGACAGGTGTTCTGTGAGGTCTTATGAAACCTATATGGTTTTATGAAACCTATATTAATGTTAAAGGGAGCAGTCTGGGTTTGGCTTGGCTTTTAAGTCAGAGCAACTTCTCACCTGAATGAAAATCAAATTATTTTGAAACTATGGTTTGCTTGGCCACAGCTTGCTTTTCTACAGATTGCCACCCCATGGTTTCATTTTTGTAATAATTACTTAGATTAATTCTGAATGTCTTATACTGGCGGTGACACAATATAGCCCTTTCCATACCTTCTCTGTATATAGCATGAAAAAACAGAAAAGGGAACAAGAGAGCCCCAGTGGTCTTGCTCTCTGGATGACAGGAGTGAAAGAAGTACCTAGGTGTGTACAACTTACCTATGCAATTTACTTGTTGACATGAAGCAGCTATCTATGAATGGCTGAACGTGCCCAGGTACTCCCTTTCGGATCTGTGACTCAGCACCATTGATGAGGGAACTTCCCAAATATTTATGAACCAGTACTTCTAGTACCTCCTGCCCCAGCTCTCACAAGGCTCTCTGGGACTGCTCATGATTGATGTTCTGCAACACTAAGGAGGTGCCCAAGTGATTAGATTTTTTAGAAAAAGATCCAGGTGGGGATGAGCCTATTGGTCTTTTTTCATTTCATTTTCATGTGTGTTCATGCACAGATTTCCACTTCAGTCTGCAACTTTTAAAAAACAAAACAAAATCGAAACCTTTAAACGTGTATTTTTGAATTTATTTTCTCTCAAAGTATGGGTTTCTAAAAAATATTTTGATATATTTTAAAGCTACAACTACATTGGAACATGCCGAAAGGTCACTAGAAGCCATTAAACCTTCAACCAATGGGTAACTATATTCTCATTCAATATAGTTGAATGCTATATTCTCACATTAGTCCAGAAGTTGGAGATCAGGTCAGTTTCTATCTGAATTCACAAAGAACAACTCTTTTGGCTTCCCTACTACCAGATGCTATTTAATCACTAACAGTTGCATATTCAGGAAGTAGATAAAATGAATTCTTCTGACAGTTCTAGTTAATGGATGCCATAATTATTTCTCTTCCAGTTTTATAATAAACAATTTTCAAAAAGTGTCCTATAGTAGTTTCAAACCCTCACATGTTTCTTAAATGTGATGCTTCTAGTCTAAACATAAATATTTGAACACTATGGCCACTAACCTATTGCTAGTCGTAACTAGAGTAGACCCACTGAGTCAGCTGGATTTTTGTTATTGTAGACTTGCCATTCAGCAATTTATTCAATAGATCTACTATTCTGTGGAACTAGCTCATATATTTCAAGCTGTATGATAACTGGCAATGTCAAGGGCTCACAAGGAGTATTATCATAATTAAGACATTGCAAACAGTCTAAACATATTTAAGAACATGAAACAGCATTTCTATCTGTGCTGCTTCTCAGAATAGTTGCATTATCATAGCCCATTGGTGTTGTGGCCTTGTTAAATAGCAGAGTGCTTTTCTCTCCTGGGTTGTATTGATTCTTTCCCATTACTAGCTTTTCTGATAGTCATTTCCCCCCCCTTATTGTTAAAACAGCATGACATAGGTTCAGCAGAGAGACCACCGAGTGTTAAGCTCATTGTGCACAGAGGACAGGCAAATGAGAAATGGTGAGGCCAACCCAAATGATGGAATCATAGAGCCAGAGGGAGTTTCCAGGGTCAGTAATCCAGTCCAGACAGATCAGCCTGATTTGTCAGACCTAAATAAATCCTGACAGATGCACATTCAGGCTCAAAAAAGAAATCTCCAAAGAAGATTTCATGATTTCCCTGGACGTCTTGTTTTCTTGCTGTAGGAGCAGGGAGTGCACACAAACATTGGCCCTCTGTTTTTACCTGGAACTAAAAACAATATACTTCCTCCTTCTGGCTTCATCAGCTGAATGCAGTGGTAGGAGGGGGGGGAGAGATAATTTTCCACAGCTGAGGCTCATCTTCCATCACACCTCTTGATCTCTTCCCAAGGAATAATAATAAGAAAAATCTGCATAACAGGAACCATATAGAATAGAAACCTCTGTTCTTTACTTGCAAGGAACAGCCCCTTCCATAACTCCTCAGGAGTCACTGAGATTTATGGTAGAAGCCATTGCATGATACCTGATTGAGCTTATATCACTGCAGAATAAATATGTTAGGGTTGGGATGTTTTCACCACTACAGCTGACAGCAACACAGGAAGGGATTTGGAAACACAGGAAAGAATGGACTTGAACCGGGACTGAGGAGAGCATAGGAGGGAAATAAAAGATTGTAGCTATTTGGCTCAGGTACAACTTTTAAAAATGATTCAGTAAGTGAAGCATAATAACTAATGTCTCAGGCATAAGGGTAGAAAAGGGACTTAAGAAGTGATGAAAGGGTTAGTGTGTCATAATTCATCATGAAACCATAGAAAACACAGTTCAGACAAAATATGACCTCTATTTCAGTAGGAGACTTAAATACTTATCTTTCTTTCACTGAAACAAAGGGACTTGAAAAACACAACAGGGTAGTTCACACAGAGAGATTTGAGATAAGCCACAGTGCACAAAAGCATACTACTCTAATGTCAAGGATGGTATTTGTAGCAAAGACTTATAAATGGGCTACAAGTTAAACTCTACTTAGAGGGACGTGGTGGCACTGTGGGTTAAACCGCAGAAGCCTGTGCTGCAGGGTCAGAAGACCAGCAGTCGTAAGATCGAATCCATGCGACGGAGTGAGTGCCCGTCGCTTGTCCCAGCTCCCGCCAACCTAGCAGTTCGAAAGCATGCAAATGCAAGTAGATCAATAGGGACCACCTTGGTGGGAAGGTAACAGCGTTCCGTGTCTAAGTCGCACTGGCCATGTAACCACGGAAGATTGTCTTCGGACAAAACGCTGGCTCTATGGCTTGGAAGCGGGGATGAGCACCGCCCCCTAGAGTCGAACACGAGTGGACAAAAAATTGTCAAGGGGAACCTTTACCTTTACCTTATATCCTAGAAATACTCTCCTTGATTTTCCTGAGCCTACTTGGAACTGTAATCGGAACCATCTTCTACTCCTGCTGCTGTTGCTTGACAGTTTCTTATTACCAGCTAGGTGCTCTTTAGAGATAAGGAGGAAGAGAAAATGCCAAGTGTTGCTAAATGGGTAGTAGGGATGGGAAAAAGGAGATGATGACTCTAAGATGTTTCAAGAGAAAGAAGTGGGTCCTATGGCAGGCTAGATGGATGGAGAGAGAACAATGTTCTGTTGTAATTAAAGCCCAAATCTCTCCTGACATTGACTGACAATATTGCACTACAGTACAATCCTAACTCAGAACTACTGGGGATGGGTTTAATAATAAGCAGAAAACTCCTGCCAGCACAAGTCTCTCCTATGGGCAGAAATCTCCCCATGCCAGCAGAAGTTCCTTTTCCTGACTGACCTCCAATAGCTGCTAGCTGTAGAAACGGTTCTACCAGCAAAAATTTGAGAGCAAAAAAAGAGTCAAAGATGAGGTAGAGAAGAGAAGAGCCAAGTAGGGTGGATTTAATTTAAATCACAATTTAAATCATAGTTAAAATTTTTAAAAAATGGGATTTGGATTCAGCAGAGCTCCAACTGCCCCTCATTTATTTTGGATAGTTAGGTTTGTAGCCCTTATCAGTAACAGAACAATGGTTTCCATCACTGAAATCACCATTCTTTAAGAATGATCACTTAAACACATAACAACAGTTGTATAAATGGCTCACTACATCTAAATGTGGACATTCTGCAGTTTCCTTTTGATAAGCCCACATGTACGTGTTTTTCAGGACTGTGATCATAGGGTTACCTGTGCTTGCTTCCCACAGATATCTGTTTGGCCACTTTGGGAACAGGTCTTCTGTTGATCCACTTTGGTTCTTTCAATGTTCTTTGCAGTATCTTGTGTACATTAAAAGCCAGATTTCATGGAACCTTACTTTGAAACACTTTTCCTTTAATAGTGACAAGACACAGTCATATCTGTGAAATATTTATTTATTTATTTCCATTTTTGTATAACACCACAATGAAGAGCCTAAGTCTCCTTTAGTTGAAATTCCTTGTCTGGAGCTTTCTTCCCTTCAAAAACAATGTGGGTGTCATACATACTATAAAGCTGTGCATATTAATAATATTTGTATATGTTTTCTTATTTTACATATTGTATTATTCATTTCCCAATGACAAGGTAGAAAGATCTATAGAAAGACTGAAGTTCCAGCCCATGCCTCCTATAAATCCTACTCAGTCACTCTCATCCTTTCCTAAAATTTCCGCAAGGATGACATGGATACTTTCAAAACTCCTCTTCCCATTCTGAAGGCTAAAAACATTTTTAAAATGAAAGTTGAGATTCTCCAAAGTTGTGCCATTTTTACAGTATCCACCAGTATACAGACTAGACTAGACTAGACAGACAGACAGACAGAGGAACAATTTAGAGGAATTGTACATGCAAATACAAAATGCAGCTTGTCAGATCCTAGCCAGAATATCAGTGAGCTACTGCACTACTGAAAGGATTGTTCAAACTATTCATCCCAGGAAGAAGAATTTCTACTTAGGAGGGAATAGATAGCTGTCACAATTATTCAACTCCTAAGTGCATTTTCTATTAACATAAAAGACCCTAGATGAATCAAAATTACAGTCATTAAGGATTCTTGGTCAAAACAACACTATTCGTTCCATGAACGTGCAGCTGGCATGTAGATTTAACAAGCAGTGGTTTGGGTAGAATCTTAATCTCCATGTAGGACTGATGGCACCTTTCCAAGCTTTATTCCATATCTGCAGTGAAATCAGACTCGGAATTGTTGAAGCTGATTTTTTTGTTTGGCCTTGGGCTTTTAGGATTTTGTACATCCCTGGGACAAACAAGGCCAATTCCAGCAATTCTGAATATAATTTCATTGCAGCTATGGAAATATGAAAACTTGCCAAGAGTCTTATGACCTTTCAGTTGGTCCTCATACTATGACTACTGTATTTGGTGATGTACCGTATTTTTCGCACCATAAGACACACTTTTTTCCCACAAAACAGGGGGGTGGAAAGTCTGTGCGTCTTATGGAGCGAAGAAAACAGATTATATTTTCCTGTTTTCTTCTCCTAAAAAACTGGTGTGTCTTATGGAAAGGTGCGTCTTATGGAGCGAAAAATATGGTATGTTTCTTTAAAAAACTGTCATATTCAAACTTTATTTGATATCTACCCAACAGCACAAAAACCACAATGTAGCTATGGCTGCTTTCATAATTTCTATGCAAATATTCCTCTGTTTGTAATTTAAATTCTTAGAGTCCATTCATAATTACCTTAGGCTGCATTTCTTACTCCTAGGATTCCACCTACATGAACAACATCTGTGATTGCATGGTTTACATGATTTGTGATTATACAAAATGTATCCAACAGCTATATTTTAAGATCAGTCACATTAGCAAGAAGACACATCTGGCAGTAGTAATGTTCAAGTAAATTTTGCTAGTACAGACATCTGCATTCAGATGCTTTATAAGAATTGGGTGCACAGCTGTATCTGTGGACAAAAATGCAGTAGATAAAGAGTGCAATGTATTGCTGCACTGCACGGGTTCCATAAGCCTGAAAAACAGCAAAAGAAAGGTGTTCTTTGTTGAATTCATATCTATGTTCATAAATGATATAAAGCTAGAAATTGACAAATGAAAATGAGATTCCTCTAGCCAAATCATCTTGCAGAATGTGCTGGAATAAGCTCACCAGTTACTAGCCATCACCTTAGATGTATTCTGGCATTTCCAATATTGCCATTATTTTCTCTTAACCATTGTTAAATACTGTACCTACACTGATTGGCACACTCATATGCTTTCCATGTATATTGTAGAAGGTACGGGCTGCTACGTCTTGTCTCATCCCATACATGCTATCCCAATAGCCTCCAGAGTTCACTAATAATAACATGATGAAAACCCAGTTGGTCAGACCTAGGTTCTCTTTCAGCATCTTGTTCCCAATGTTCAGCTAAGGGAACCAGAGAATGGAATCCTCAATAAGAAAGAAGAAAGAGAAGGAGAGTTTAAAGGATTTGAAGGAAAAAAATAATGCCATGGACTGCAACTCCTCCACCTGCCAGCATGGTTGCTGCAGTATTGCAGTACACCAATTTTTAAAAGTAACTTTCCAAAGTTCTGATGAAATTTAAAGTTTGCACAGAACTAAAGATTTTATTGGCCCAATGCATTCTTAAATTTTTTTACCCTTTAGGAACATCATTTTATTTATTTATTTATTTATTTATTTATTTATTTATTTATTTATTTATTTATTTATTTATTTATTTATTTATTTATTTATTTATGTTCATTCATTCATTCATTCATTCATTCATTCATTCATTCATTCCATTTATACCCCGCCTATCTGGTCATTGTGACCACTCTAGGTGGCTAAGGAAGAATGAGTAACATTCAGTGTGATATATACTACATCAAATAATAACACTATTGCACAAACACTGTTGATAACTAATTATTGGACAGAACCAATATTTAGTCATGCTTAGGACAGACCACTTGGAATTAACTATGTGAGTCATGAGTAATTTAATCTTACTGATTTCTGTGGCTGTACTCTTTATTATGACTAGATAAGGATCAGAACATTGTATAATTGCTTTAATCATATTTCATGAAATAAGCTGTTCATTGCTCTTTTTTTTTACTGTCCCTGTAGAAAAAATGTAAGGCCAGTGGAATCTTTATTTTTGTGCAACCTAGAAATTTCATTTGCCCTTGTTTTAAGCCCTTTCTCAGGGTCCAAGTCCAAGCTTTTGGCCGTCTACCATCAACCGGTTTTTAAGGCACATTGCCTTTGAATATCAAAGTTTCATATATCCACCAGGACTAATAAATGTACATGGATTTACCCTTCTGAATTTTTCTAACCCAGAACTTGGGAAAGCTACTTTTTTGGACTACATCTTCCAAAATCTTTCAGTCAGCCCACATTCTGTGGCAGTGACTTCTGTCTATATATCCTTTGCCAGAATTCCTGGGCCCTTGATGTTTTGATCTTTTACTGTGGGAGACACTTCTTTTTCCCCCCTAATTTGAACATAATACTTCTGTACGATCCATAGATCTCTTTAATTTTTGCATGATGGCTTTTATTGCAGGCCTTTCTGGTTTCAGCAAAGTTTGATTATTTTGTTTTTTAAATGTATATGCTCCTTCTCATGTTAAAAGAAACATTGGAAAGAGCTGATTTCCTCTCTAGATTATTTGTTGTTGTTATGCGCCTTCAAGTTGGAACTGATCTATAGCAAACCTAGCAGAGCCTTAATGTAAGTGAGTTATTTAAGCAGTGGTTTTGCTAGTTCCACATCCCCAGTAAGTTTCTGTGCATGACTAGCAATTTCAACCGAGGCCTCCTGAGTCTGTTACTCTGTCCACAGCAGCACATTTGGTAAGTATTCTTTCTGCATGGGAAAACAATGCTAAATGTTTCACTGATCTTATGCATCTTCCTTTGCATTTTAGACGATGGGAAGGAGGAGATCCTGGTGTGTCCAATCAGAAGACTCCAACAACAATCCTCTTGACTCCAGAACGAAAATTCCACAGTTTTGGTTATGCAGCCAGAGATTTCTATCATGACCTAGATCCTAATGAAGCAAAGCACTGGCTGTATTTTGAGAAATTTAAGATGAAGCTTCATACAACTAATGTGAGTAATGGATGAATTTATCTACTACCCAATTTTTTCTTTCAGGAATGAACACTTAGTACCTAGGGCAGTAACCTGTTCAGCTTAGTGCATGGAGAGCAGCAGTTGTGAGAATAGTTATCTGCATTGTTTGGCATGTCTGCCATGTGCCTGTCACCTGATCAGTTGATATTGGATGGTCAGGCGCATGATGGGAAAACGGAGGAAACTGCTTGTGTGATTACCATTCTGCTGGAAATAAATTTAACTGCCCCCTAAGTTTGCTGGCGTGTTTTTCTTTCCTTCAGAAGATTCTGTAGCCTTTTACAATTGATTTCATTCTTAACATCATCAATTTCATTTTCATTCACTTTATAATGAGCAGTACACTATGTCATGCCTGGACTGAAATATACAGTGGTGCCTCGCTTAACGATGTTAATTGGTTCCAAAAAAACATATCGCTATGGGAAAACATCGCTAAGTGAAACACCATTTCCCATAGGAATGCATTGAAAACCAGATAATCCATTCCAATGGGAACAGATTACCGTCCTTAAGCGAAAATTGCCATAGGAAACATTGCTAAGCGAAATGCGGTTCCCCCATTGGAATGCATTGAAGCCTATTCAGTGCATTTCAATGGTTTTGACAGCTTCATTTTCGCTATTTTAAAAGTGTCTTAAAATGTTCAAAACCTGTTTCAAATGCTTGGAATCATTAGTGCACCTTGTAAAACCTTTGCAGAATTAATTTGGCTTTGTTCTGCCTCTTCGTTAATTTTTGGTGAATTCCCCCCCATTGGAATGCATTGAACTGTAGGTTTGACAGCTGTTCATCCAAAAAAGTGATGTTTGGTTTTAATCAGATTTTTCCTGTACAGAAGCATTTGAATAAGAATGGTAACAAAGGTAAATCCTTCAGAGTAATTGTTTTCTTTCTTTCCAAGGTTTTCTTTCTTTCCAGTCTTATGCTACAATTGAAAGACAAAGCTGTATAATCTATGATTTTATAATGATATTCAATCTAGTTATGAGGGTTTGGCATGGCTATTTCCTCTTTTAGACAATGAATTTATTCTTGGAAACAGCTGATAGCCACCAAACACATAAACTTTGAGGCAGGAAAACATAGAAGTGAAAAATGGCAACCTTGGACTAGCCACACTTTCTTCATCTAACATACCTCATTGACCCAGAGCTGACGGAAGAAACTGGTCATTCCTTACATAGCGGGTAGGTCTGAAAAGCTCAAAAGGCTTTTTGGTAAACACCACATACCGTGCACTTCAAATCCACAAACACACTAAGACAGAGACTTGTCCACCCGAAAGACCAGATACCAAAACACAACAGGAGCAATATAGTATATGCGGTCGAATTCAAAGGGGAGTGTTTAGAGCTCTACATTGGAGAAACCAAACAGCCGCTAAACAGGAGAATGGTCCCGCACAGGAGGGGCAATGACTCAGGATCACACTTAGCAGTGTTCCATCATTTGAAGGACAAAGGACATTCATTTTATGACCAAGATGTACTCATTTTGGACAGAGAAGATAGGTGGTTTGAGAGAAGGGGTCCGGGAGGCCATACATGTGCATATAAAAAATCCCTCACTCAACAGGGGTGGAGACCTTAGATACAATCTGTTTCCTATTTATCATGCTGCCCTTTCATCTGTTCCCAGAAAGATTAGCACCACACACACCAGAAAGACTACTGTTAACCATTAATGACCCACGACAATGGGTGGAGAAGGACTGCAAAAGTGGGATTATCCCTCACCCCCCAGTCCTTTGTCCTTCTAACAAGCCTATTCAGATCAGGGGGAAGTGAAACCAACATGGAGGATATATCAGGGACCTCCTACCAACTCTCCTCAAAGTGAAGAAGCTATTTGGATGAGTAGCAAAAAGTTTCAACCTAACAAGAAAGAAGTCCTGTTACCATGACTCAGCTTCCAGATAGCCACACCTGGATGACTGAGAATCTTCACAAATATACCTCATTGGCTTGTTGTGAGGATAAAGTTGAAAAAGCATGAGTTATGTATGTTCATTGGAAGGAAAGTGGGATATACATGTAAAGAACAAACAAATATATCTAATAGGTACAACCCCACATGGCAAACAGCTACATTCCTTATGAACAAGAACAGTTCACCATCTGAGAAACATGATGAATTTCCTTGTCAGAATGACTATCTGACAAAATGACTACCTGTGTTGCCTTTTGCCAGTAGGGTGAACCTTAAACATTTGAATAATCTGACAATTATTATTTTTTTCCCTTCTAGAATCTCTCTCTGGAAACAGACTTGACAGCTGCAAATGGCAAGAAAGTCAAGGCACTTGAAATATTTGCTCATGCTCTGCAGTACTTTAAGGAACAAGCATTGAAGGTGAAGAAACTTCCTGTGTCTCATACTCTGCATATTTATAACTGTGACAAGCACTAGTCCACAAATATAACCTTGCCAAACTTTAGCCTTCAGCAGCCTTTTTTTTTTTTAATGTAAACAGAGTGGGGCAGCTGTAAGAAATGCAGAGGCACTGATGGTGGTGAAGTGTTCTAGATACATATAAGCAACCTCCTGTCCGGCCAGAATCCCGTGGTGCATCTGCCAGTGGTGACACCCAGGTTCTGTACGAATCAGTGAAAGCAGATTTTGATATTGTTTCTATACAACCAGATTTTTTTCTCTGTGTAACAAAACTCTTAGTGTGGGTAGCATTTTGTATCAAAGATGCTTTGTTTGTTTGAGGAAGGAATAGGTAAAAGCCACCGGATCACTCTGATCGCACCAAGGTCAAAACGGACATTTCTTCCAAATTCACTAATCACTTGCCTTCAGTCCCAGTCACTACTCTTTCCTTGGTTTTTTTAAAGACAAAATCCAAAGAAACAAAACAAAACAATAAAAAATAGAAAAAACATGTGGCGCCTTCAAGACTAACCACTGTATTTTATTATAATCATTTGTGGAGACGTCCCCTTCATCAGCTATTAAGAGACTAAATCTAATGAGTATTAAATACCAGTTTTACATTCTAAATGTTCATTGGTTACATGCAGTAATTGGGCCTATGTTTGTTTAGAGTCCTGTTGGAAAAATATTTCAGGAAGACAGAAAACAGGCAAGAGGTCTGAGCAGAGTTGAGAAGGGGGGGGAGAGGGGAGTTGGGGGGGAGGGTTTGAATCGCAGTAAATTCCAAGAGGGCAAAGAAAGAATGAAATAAGTTAGCAGAGGAATCATGTATGTTACTGTAGGGAATATAACCAGTTTTCACAATGCTCTAAGGTCTAGAGATGGGCATGGTAGTAGTGAAGAAAATGACAGTGGCAGTGAATAACAGTAGATGTGTTACATTTGGTAATGGCTTAAGAAACCTAGGCTTATATTCAGTCCATTTCTATGTGTGCCCATCATGTGTACAAATTTTACTTCAGCTCTTTCCCTCTGTGTTCTTGATTTGTAATTATTCTGTTCTAAAACAGTGACTTTTAAATCTTCCACAGAGTGACCTGGTAGACTGAAATGGTTGGAGCCAGGTTTCTGTGTATTGTGGTTTTTGATGTCAGATTTGTGGCCATTGATCTGTTTCTGTGGAGATTGTCCTGTTGTCCTATGTAGAGTGCAGAGAGGCATTGTTGGCAAAAGATGGCATAGATCTGATTAGCTGTGGAACAAGTGAAGCTGCCTTTGATATTGTGTGTGGCACTGTTAGATCTTATGATTGTGTTGCCAGAATAAATGTGTGGGCAGAGTTGGCATCTGGGTCTGTGGCAGGGTGCAGTCCCCCTGTCTGTATTGATGTTTTGTGGTCTATTGTATGTATTTGTTTGAGGTTGTGGGGTTGTCTGTAGGCAACTATGGGTCTCCCACCAAGGGCTTTGGAGAGTGAAGTGTTCTTGTCAAGGATGGATTGGAGATCATTTAGTACTCGTATGTGTGTGAGCGGTTTTGGTTGTGGACTGTAAGTGACAACTAGTGGTGTTCTGTCATTTTGTCTTTTTGGATCTGTCTTGAATAAGTTACTTCTAGGTGTATGCATCTTGCTTTGTTGATTTGTTCCTTAATCATATGAGGTGGGTATTGAAGTCTGAGCAATGGAATTTATAGATCATTGAGTTTGGAGTCTCTATGCTGTGGGTCTTAGCAGATGCAATTGCATCTAAAGGCTTGGCTGTACACAATGGATTTGTTTCATTTCATTTTGTCTCAATATCTGACAAAGTGGACATGTCCATGAAAGCTTACGTTAAAATATAATGGTTAGTCTTTAAGGTTCCACATGCTTTTGTCTTTTTTATTGTTTTGTTTTTCCTTTGAATTTTGCCTGATGTGCTTGCACAGTCTAACACAGGTACCTCTTCCAAAACTTGATTTTTGGAGGTGTAGAGTATAGTTAATTTCCGTATACATACATATCACATTGTCCCCCTCCAAGTGCTCACTTTTCTTTTTTGTAATATCTTATAATCTTGATGCTCAAGTATATGTTTTCCTGTACTTTATGTGCTAAACTATGCAAAATAATTTTTATCATCTGAAAGCGTTATCTACCGTAAATGATGAGCCTACCCTGTTTCCAGATTGATAGTTCTAAATGGAATCCAAGTTGCTTTCTTGAGGTGGGTGGTGAAGAAGCTTGTGAGCAGGCCTTGTTCATTTTTGTAAGTGAGGATGGCTACTGTTTCTCAAGTGTGTGAATGCTTAGAAGGCCTATCTTTGCTGCCAAGCCAAGCACTATGCCATCCATTGGCTTCCACCAAGATAATACTGGGTATGACGCAGAAACTGCCCCAAGTTCCTTAAACTGGACTGCTGCCAATGTGGAAATAACACTTGACTTCCAGTGTAGCCAGTTTCTGTATAAGATACAGGAAAGCAGGGTTAGCATGTTGTCCTCTGCCTTGGGCAGCAAAATAACTTCGACATATAGTGTTCTTGTCTCTTTGAGCAGGAAGTGAGTAAACTAGTGATGCCTTTTTGGCATTCGGATGGTATCTTGAACTGTGGGTCCCAAATAAACAAACACAGTTTTTACAAATATTTTAAAAAGCTGCATTGATCGTAAGTATGCATACTGATCTTCAAGCCATTTTTCTTTTTCTAAAATGGTAGACTTGTCTATTGTTGGCCAGAATTAAGTGGCCACCTCAGACACTTGGCTTTATATTTCATGAAAGGACGAGACCACTTGCTGGATTTTCTGTTTTTGATTCCAAAATATTTTTACTTTCCTTGGATCCCATACAACGTGCCTAGGGCTGGGATTTGTTCTCTTTCTTCAAGGGAAAAATTATCTTGGGCTGGCTTTTAAATTGTTGCATTCACTGATGTCATATTGTTCAGATGTAAATGTGATGCCCCACCATTAAGATGCCAATATTGAAGATCCAACTCAATCAGTGTCACAGGAAATAAGTTTTCAAAATGACACTCCCCCAGCTCACTGGGGTGGGGGGTAATGTGTAGCCAGTATAACTATTTTTTTTATTATTATTGTAAACCACCCAGAGAGTGCTTTAAGCACTGTAGGGTGGTATATGAGCAGCACACTTTGCTTTACCGTTAATTCAGATAAATTAATAGTATTGTTGATGCTACAATAATGAGCACAGCATACAATTATGAACATACATGGTGCTATAAAGCACAGGCAAATAAGAGTCCAGGATCTAGTAACCACAGCAACATAAAACATTTTTTTTCCTGATAATTTACAATTCATTGTAATTGCTGGCAGAGCTGATAGTTACTGGCTTGAGTTTGCCACTAAGCAGAAACTCAGTTTTATAACAAAGAGCTCGATAGGCAATCTTCTATAGATAAGGAAGAAGACTGCTTTGTCTGGAGTCAGTATGAAATACTGTAAAAAATAATATGCCATCACACTAGCTCCAAAAATGCATTTCTGTTTCACAGGCATCATTGTCATACCAGTCTTCACTTTTTATACTGTGGGTTCATTTAACACTGCCAGTCTTCACCATTGTCTCCACAAATAAAATTGGGCCTCCACTACTCAGTTTGCTGTTGTTCATGCAGTTGCCATTAAATCTTTTTTAATATATCTGCTGCAATACTTTATGGTTCTCGTGGAGGCCAAGAGGTAGAACAGAGTGTCTCCTCCTTTTCTGGAATGGAATGAAAACCACTGTCCAGTTTTAGTGGGTTGCTATATCAGTGGTAGCAGTAAGTAGGAAAAGGTAGAATATGATTCTAGTAACATAAACATGGTAAGTTCAGCTAGATAGCCTTTATCTTTGTGTCCATTGTGCAATTTCATATGGTGTCACTCACATACCTTCTCTACCCGTACAGTATGTGCCACCCCCTAAATGACAGTCATTCCCTATCTCTGCAATAAGTTTGATGTTGCCCTTTGAAGCATTGAACAAGGATGCCTTCTTCTGAGTTATCCCTATCATGTTTGAGGCCCTTATATACTGCTGTTCTTTATGTAGCCCTTTAAAAGAGATTACTGTATAATGCTTCTGGTGGAGCATATGGCCTTAGTTGCTTTGGTGACACTACATAAACCATGTGTCCAAGCATTGACCAGTGCTATGTATAGGTATGTCTTGTGACTGCTTTATCTAAAAATAATAAGCAGAGTTTCATAAACCAACAAGAAGGTTATTAGTGAATACACACACACACACAGAGGAATAAAAAGGTTCAGCTGACAGGTATAAGGTAAACTTTAAGAACAAAGTCCAAGCTGTCAGATTCTTTAACATACACCCATAATCCTTTACTTCTTTATAATTTAAACCCTTTTAGCTCATACACCCCTCCTGCATACAAAACAGAACCTCTCCAACCAGGAATCATACCAATCAGCTCATAACTCCACTCCATTCATGAACATTCTTATAAAATATATAAAGTGTAGTAGAGTGTGGTATTTGTTAGTAAGAAAGCAAGTATACTGTACTTTGATCAATGCTTGGAAGAGTTCATTTAGGGCATTTAGAACATCCTACCACCTTGACTAAAAAAACACGCATAAAATACCCCCCCTTTCCCCCTAGATTTTGGACTTTTTATTAGAGAAGAACCTGCCCTTCCTGATTGCACATTTTTCTATGGGCCTCCTTCAGAAGGTGTAACTAAAACAACAGATTTGGCATTCTAGGTATTCTTAATATGTCGGTATTTTCAGCTGCCTGATGTAGACACAACATCGCAAAACACGGAAAGCGCTTATTATTTTCACAGAAGCTGCTAGAAAGCATCCCTTTTGGAAAACAACTGGTATCAATTTAGCCTCTCACTGCAACTTTGCTTCCATTTATTCTAGGAGCTGACTGATCAAGGAGGTGAAGGGTTTGACAACTCTGAAATACGATGGGTCATCACCGTGCCAGCTATCTGGAAGCAGCCTGCAAAACAATTTATGAGACATGCTGCATACAAGGTAAGATTATTAATGTGCATTACCTGGGGCAAAATAGAGGGGGTGGCTTTAAACACAGCATATATTTTAAATCAGAAAAATGCTGCGATCAAACACTATCATGCTGGCATCCTTTGGCATTAAGAATATTGCAGTTGTTTAAAAATGACTTGAGAATAAAGTGCCTACACAGGTAGAAATGTGCAGAGCACTTAGTCCATTGAAACATGAATGGAAGATATCGAAATAGGCAAGCTCATTTGAAAATTGAAGCAGAGAAGAATATATGATTTTCTGAAGGGGCTAGTCTCTTGTAACAAGAACAGCAAAGAGTAATCAAACTTGAAGATAAACAAGATGTATTTGGCATAAGCATTAGTGAGTTAAAACCATAAGTCTTTAAGGTGACACCTTTCAAAAACAAATTTTCAAAGGCTCTCTACTGTGAAGGAATCAGGCACATATGCGCTTGAATTTTGGAATTCTAAGAATTAAAGGTTGTTTCTGAGCCACATCAAGAGTCTAGAAGTGTTTCCAAACAAAGTTTTTTTCATTCAATTTCCTTGCCTTATTCATAGAATTTGGGATGACATACATGACATGGTCTTCCTGCTGAAAACTTCCCTGTGAAAGCATTCTAGGCCACCATTTACCCTGTTCAGGAAGCAACATGAATCTCAATCTCCTGGGCATATGCAGTGTCCCTGCTTTGATTCTGGGTCATGTGCAATGAGACAAAGTTGTAGCAATGTGGAACTGAAGTTGGGGTTCTTTAATTAGTGGCAATTTGCCACTGACATCATTTTACCTAATTAAATCATGCAAGAGGGTTTGGGCCAATGTGTCATTGGCAGGACATCTCAGTTTAGGAACAAGGTGGCTTATCATGGTCAGACTCACTCGAGATAGAACCTGCTTAGTTTGCAAGCTTTGCTAAGTCGTCCAATTGAAGTTCTATCCTTTTAAAAATGGAAGTCTATTGCATCACGTTAGTAGATGTCAGCCTAGTCCCAGTCTTTCTTCTCTGCTTACGCACAGCTCCCATTCTTGTTGAGAGAGAGGAACGCTATGTGATAATAGCATTCAACATGGTGAAATAGAAAGAGCCTCACTGCCATGTTTTAACTGAAGTGGAGAACTGACTAGATTAAATTAGCACAAGGGCCTCCATCTCTACACAAGTAGGTCAAATTATGAAACTAGGAAACATAATTTTGTCGTCAACCCAAAGTTTCTTTCACACATTACTTGTGTAATGGTGCAGAACGTTTGGAAAGGGGCTATATCTCTTCTATTCTTAGGATCTAGCACAGTAAAGGTATGAGGAGGAAGCCATGTGCAGCCATTTCCTGGGTTTTGAAACCATGGTCAAAGCCTGGGTTCCATGATCTGCAGAAGCCTATGTGTGTATGGAGGCTTATGCATACAGGCAGGGGCAACAGTCCAGGGAATAAAATTGGGGCTGGGAGGGAAGCAGTAGTGGCAGTCTCCAAGCTATTCCTCGTAGATTCTCCACTGATTTCCCTTGATTGGAGGACATTACTATGTATACTACACAACCGTCCTGGATCCAGAAATCTGTACAATCAGCTTCTGGACTGGAGAAGGAGCACCATCTTGTCCACCACAGGCAGCAAAATGTCTTGGGCCATCTCTACAGGTAGGCTTCCTCAAATGTCCATGTTAATATGAGATGGAAACAGGAATTGGATGCTTGGTGTAGGCAAAGTGGACCTAGAGCCACAACCTCTTTGTACATACTTTGTTTCTTCATGGGAGAAAAACAGTCCTGTTTCTCTACCGTGATACAATGACCCACTCTTATTCCAGTGGGAGGGAATGATGTGCAGAATTTGGCATTCCTGATAGACACTGAGAGGCACTGAAAATAACATGGGGCAAGAAGAAATTCTGATGAGGTCTCACTGACAGAGGAGCCCACGTGCATTAATTTTGGATTCATGAACCTAGAGTAAGCACCATGCAGTTTCCAAACTTTTCTGCAGAAAGATAAGGTTTATAAAGCATTGGGGTTTTTTTTAAAAAGAAGAGGAAGAAAAGAAAACAGCCATAACTATCAATGGATTCTGTATCAGAGAGTTGCTCCTGTGTTGTACAGAATCATTAGAACTATGCAGATTCCTAGAATACTTCCTTTCACATACAGTCATAATGGGAACATATTAACACTGGCAAAAGAAAAATGATGCAGAGTGTATTGTTGTGGGGATGGGGCAAACTGAATGTTTCAAAAGGCAGTTCCTGTGGTGGTGGTGTTCTGGGGGGGGGGTAGTCTGAAAGGATCTTCCATTCACATTTGCAATTAGTAATCCTGATTTAACAGGATTCGTGATCAAATGGAAGCTTCCAGCTTGCATTCAGGTGAACACAAGCAGAAGCCTCCTGTAGTATTTTCTTCTCCCCACATAGGGAGAAGGAGGATTAAGGGGCAAGGGTGCTGTGGGTAAATTTTGTAATTGTGACCTTCCCCAGAGACACATTTCACCTTCATATGGCCAAGGTGAAAGCCTGCATGGAGACTGCATGGCTTCTTAAAGATTCCTTTGAAGGTTTCCATCGACAAAGCTGATCTTCATGACTTTGTGCTGCCAGAATCCCCCTGAGACCAGCCCTGTTGCCTGAGGGATTCTGGGACATGTAGTAAAAAAGGACCCCCCCCCCCCAAGTTCTATCATCAAGCGTACAATATCAATAAGAATTCCATTCTGTATGAATCATGGCTTTTCACAATTCTGTCTGAAACATTCATACTAGAAGCTACACAGTAGATAAAGTGCAACACTCGCCCAATGTTTATGCCTTCGTTTTAATGAAAAGCAGGCATGAGGGCCTACATGTTTAAATGTAAGGAAAAGGAGTGGGGAGCCAGAGTTCGCTTGATTGTTTTTCTGTGGCCACTTCTTTCTTGGTCACACAACCCTTCCCAAACTGCATTTCCACTTATGGGAAGGGATATTGATATGTATGTGTGTCTTTTTTTTCACGGTTAGAAAACCAGGCAGTGGGCAAGCTCTTCCCTGACTTTAACTGGTCATCTCCCACAACTGTTCTTCATTTAAAAGACAGATCATCCTGAGAATTCCATGCCTACCTTGTGGTGTTTAGTTTGGCTGTGGTTAAACATTAAACAGGGTTATCTACAAACCTACCTGTAGAGTCACAAACCGACATGTGTGATAGCCTCATCACTTGGATTGTGATCTTTATCAGGCAACTAATTTCCCATACTGCCATTGTGAATTAGTGATGGTCACCAGTATAGTACTAGCACAGTGTAGTTTGTGGGTGTCTAAGCATTGAAACAACACTTTCTGTGGCATGGAAAAGACAAAGCAGATGTGTAGTTTTAGATATTAGCCAAAAAAAATGTGCTTGTTTTTTTGTTTTGTGATATTTTTTTGAGAAATTAATTCCTGAAAATACAGTGAGTCACTGTGATCCACGCAACCCACCTTTGATGTCCGGTGTTTCCCATTATTTTCTATGATGGGGATATTCGGTTCATGCAATTGTGACATATCTGTGGAGTATTTTCTTTTATAGAAGAGAATCTGTATCTTAGGCAGTTTCTGCTCATTCTAGATCCATACTTCATGTAGTCTTATTACATCACCTGGTTTCTGTTTCAATATATAGACCAATGATAAGAGTGTTGTGGGGAAAGAAGAAAGTGATTTTCACTTTGTATTTTCAAGAACACATATCAATTTTTCCCCATCCAATCACTATCTCCCTCAATATTTAGTAAGTCTGACATAATTTGGTGATTTATTTTTGAGCCCAGTATTGTTTCACTTAAGTGATTTATGAAGACTATTGTAGATTTGTTTGTCTCTCTGCCATTTTTCAATGTATGTTATCTCTTCCCACCCACCCCAGAATGTCATGTAGTTGTTTGTAGCTAGCAAGAATTACACAACCCACTGGCAGTGATTATGCATTGCATGTTATTTCAAATGTTTGTATCTTCTAACTTTTTGTTTAAAGCCATCATAATCCCTCTGACTCTGTTGTACTTGTCTCTAATGTTGAGCAACATTTTTCTCAACAGTCTGTATTGTGGGATTGCTAATGCTAATACCAGGAGCAAATCACTTAAAGGTTCTCATGGAAGGACACGGTTGTAGGTAAAGCTGAAACATTAGAGACTCGTGTGTTATCTTTGTCTGTTGTTGCTTGCCTGCTGTTTGTGTGCATGTGTGCCTGTGGAATGGAAACTTATATTTTAAAGAGATAAGTAGACTGAGGATCTCTCAGCATTCCCCATTTGTGGCACAATAGAGTGTTGGTGAATAATGTCTGCATCTGTGGTGGTGATAGTTCTTGGTGTTGTTGTTATGATTATGACTATGATCACTACTATTACTATTATTAGTCTGACTACGGGTGTGTATTTATTGACCAGACTATTAAGTACTGAGTTAAAATAGAGCTTTTAATTAAGAACTCCCATCAAAAATCACAATGAAGTGATAATATAAAAGCACCAGTAATTGAGTTGTAAAATGTTTAGATAGTGTATTATTGTAAACTGTTTTCTATACCTTTTTTGAGCAAAATGTCAAGTCAAAAGATGGGAGAAAAAGAGGATTTTGGAGAAGTTACAGTTGTAGAATTCTCCAGCCAGCATGGCCGATCTGGGGAAAATATCTCAGGAACTGTGGGAAAAATAAAATAAATTCAGATATTGGGTGGACAGCACTGAAAAGAGGCAGAAGATGCTATGGACTAGAAAATGGCATTGTAGAAGTATCTGTTCCAAAAAAAAACCACACACACACAAAAAAACAGAGAGTCTAAAATACAGACTTTAAGTGAAATTGAACATATGTCAGAAGCAACATATCTGACATGTCTCATTTCAGGTGTTCAACACGGGGTTAATCTGAGTGAATGAGAAGAAGGAGCAGGTTGGGCCCTTCCCCTTCCAATTCTCTTCAAATTGAGAGTGATAGTCTGAAGTCAAATCCATCTTCTATATGGACAGCTTTTCCAAGTAA